CTGGACGCTGCGTTCACTGACACATACAGCGGTGGTGATGGCTGAGATGAGGGTGGAGACTGTACTGGATGTTAACATATCTACCAGGGAGTGAACCTCCCGCTACGCTGTGTTTCCTCAGTCCACATCCTGCAGCTGCAGCTGAGTGAATCCACGTCTTCAGGCGTGTTTGAGGAGAAAACCTCACATCTGTCACTCGGTTTCCTTCAGCTTTCAGTCTCTTCAGCCTCTTCTGCCTTAAAGAGAACACAAAAGCAATAATACATCACTACTCCCCCAGAAAATATCTTTAATTAGAGTTTCCAGGGACGCGCTTCGGCGTGCCGATTCCTGAAAAACCTCAACAACTTTGGCAAGTTCAGACAGAAACGTCTCGGCGGTTTTCTGCACAAACGCTGGACCTGTGTTCCTCAGTCGGCTGCTGCTCGCTCAGCCGAGGCCTTCGGGCTCGGCACACACAGGAATGTCATTAAGGCGTTTTAATGTTCCTCGTGTGTTCGGCCTTTACCGTTATGGAATGTAATGGAGAGAGCGGGACAACAAAGACCGCCTTTCAGCGCGAGGGAGACCGTCCGAAACGTCTCAGCTTTCTCTCACCGCTGCCAGAGGAAAAACTCACCGCAGTCGAAGCGTCAACACGACAGAATCACAAAGAGAAAGAGTTTAAGTAAAACACATTTTTCCCTTCGATTTTCTTGTGAGACTGAATGCGACTCACAGCGGAGATAAAAGGCCTGTAATATTTGGTTAAAGTAGAGTGAAAGATAACACTGTTCATTTTAGGCATTTATCTACTATTTTACTCACGTTGTGCTCTTGGTATGAACCTAAGACTTTAGTGAACACACTTTAATTCATCAGTGAAGGTTTGTTTTCACAAGAGATTTGAAGACTTTCAGGAAACTGGGCTTTAATTTAACAGCACTTTGGCCAAACGATCCGTCTGCACAGTCCAGAGAACAAGCAGCATCATTACAGAAAGAACTGAGATTGTTCTGGAAACTCTGAAAGTATCTTAAGAAATTAAGTGGAAATCAAGAAAATACCATCAAACCTCAGAGAGTTCAGTGAAGAGCAAGAAGGATTCAGAGAGAATGAACTCAGGTAAACGTACCTGAAGCTCCAGTCTGGGTTTCAGAGGAAAGATGGAAGGAAGAAACAAAAGGAAGGAGAGAAGGAAGGAGAGAAGAATAAGTAGCAAGGAAACAAGAAAAGTAAAGAGGTGAAAAGAAGCGAAGTAGGAAAAGGGAAAAAGATTTTGTTGACTGTGACTTCTGGACGAATGAATAAAAACCAGCTGCAGGAGGAAAACGTCTTTTCTTGGACATGAAGTGGAGGAAAAAGTAAAAAGTCTCCAAAATGGAAAGTCACAGTGACATTTCAGACGTGTGTTCCCTCTGCGCTGGCGTTGGCAGACGGACCCACAGTTCATTAACAGATCTCAGCGCTTCAGTCTGGAGCTCATTTGCTTCCTGAACGCGTTTGTTTCTGCCGTTAGCTCGGGGGGGAGTCGGCCAAATAAACACTCTGCATCGTTCTGCTGTTTGCTGGCAGGAATCAGCCGCTCTGGAACTTGGCGTCCACATCAACAGGGACGAGATTCAGACGACAGCGGCCGACAGAGTCTTAATTGAATCCATGTTGTTCATTTTGGACTCGCCGCCGGTCATCAGAGCGACACCGGGACGCAGACTGTGTTTACTGTCAGACTCCTGGACAGCCACCGAGTGAATGTGAACATCTGTCCACGTGCGCACACACACCTGCGGGAGCTGGACGACCTTTCCAGACGAGAACGTCACAAGAGGCCGACGACCCCTGGACCAGAAACCAGGAGACAGATCCACTGACATGCAGAGAGCAAACATCACAGGGAGGAGTCCTGTCTGAACACACGGACATGAAACACACATCGGATCAGTCAGGGTCACTTCCACTTCCTGAGGACGTCATCATCTCCCACGTCCCTCCAGAATAAAGCTCCAGAAATCCACGTAGAAGCCAGAGAAAAAAAAGTGGCTGCAGAACGTTTCTCCTTCAGTGTCACAGTGAGTCAGTGAGAGTCGTCTGTACGTCCACGACACACTGACAGCAGCAGCTGCTGGGACGCCAGTCAGCTGCTTGTGGTGGGACAGTTTATATAATTTAAACAAATGTAGAATAAAAAAGAGAATAGCAGCACCTGTTCACAGCTGCAGGAAAAGCTGCACGCTGCTTCATTTTAACGTCCCAATGAGTCAGACTGTCGAGCTCGAGTTTCAGTCTCGGGGATAAAAGATTCTGTTCACTCTAAACCACCGTCTTTTTTAAATGTCTCATGCTGGAAAAAAACAAATCAGGAGTTTAAGGAAACTTTCTTTGGCAATTTTTTCAGTTTCTTTCATGTTCCTGGATGGATTGTGTATCCCTGCAGCAATAACACACACACACACACACACACACACACACACACACACACACACACACACACAGATGATTTTTTATTTATTGTTTAAATAAGAAAAAAGTCTAATCTGAATTGTGACACTTCAGACTCTCCAAGAAACCTGTGCGAACCACTGAGTTCTGTAACAGATATTAAAGAACATTATGCACACACACACACACACACACACACACACACACACAGCTGATCCTCTCTGCAGGACTGAGCAGGGAGGAAGCAGCTGGAGAGGGTGATGTGATGCAAGGCGGAGGAAATCCAGGGAATTAGAGCGGATATGTGAAGGAGCTGCAGAACTCTTCACACTGGAATCAAGACCACGGTCTGCAGATGTTCGAGCATGCTGGGAGAATTCCTCTGCTCGTCCCGCTCTGAGAGAGAGAGTCAGTGTCGCGTCGCGTCGCGTCACGTCACGTCGCGTCGCGTCGCGTCACGTGGTCCTGACATTAAAGACGCTTCAAGATTCAAATATTTCAAGTGTAAGGAACGGAGCCGTCAGTGTGAATCCTGAACAGACGCTGAGATACAAACCACAAGGAGTGTGTGTGTGTGTGTGTGTGTGTGTGTGTGTGTGTTCAGAGAGCTGGGATGTTCAGGCTTGGGGTTGTAACCAAAGATGAACCTAAATTTTCCACAGTTAATATGCTGACAGCAAATATCACACTCTCACACACACACACACACACACACACACACACACACACACTCTCACACACACACAGAGCAGTATCATTCATTGTGATGTGAGACGGCAGGAAGTATTACTCAAAAGGGGGGGGGGGGTAATTGCAGAGTCTCCTTTAACTTTCAGCACCCCCCCTCCCACTCCTGTTGAGTCCATCAACACACACACACACACACACACACACACTGAGATAAGGAGAAACACTTCCAGGGTTTATCTAGAGGGAGGGGAACAATCCAGCAAGAGACAGGTGAGCAGGAGGAGCAGTGAATAAGAAACAAGAAAAGCAGGAAATGAAACGAATGAAGCTGAAATCCGTTCAGACTTCCACCTCCACCTCCGCCTTCACCTTCACCTTCGCTTCCACCTCCGCCTTCACCTAATAAAACATGACACATCAGATCGGATCCAGACGGCCGGAGAAACTCAATGTTTTTCATGTCCTACATTTTAAACAGCTGCATCGTGAACAGAACTTTGTAGTTTCTGTTATTTTCATCCAATAGAGGCTCTGAGCCTCTCTTCTGATTGGCTGACTGTTTTCTGAGTGATCCAATAAAAATATAGCAGATTTCAGGTAAAAACAATCAGAGAAACCAAATCCTGCAAGGTTTGGATGGTGGGTCCAGGTGGGCGGGGCTTGGTGACTGCTTTGTTGTGACATCACAAAGTTCCAGAAGTCCTGACGGCTGGTTTTAAGGCTCAGTTTCTGAATACAGGCTGTGTGCATTTCTCTGTGGACTGAGGCTTTGATACTTTCACAGTATTAATATAGAAGCTAGAGCTGATCTATAATCACACTACACATGGACACAGACCTTTACACTGGAGGAGCTTTAAGTCAAATAAAACAGTGAAGTAGAAGACACAGATATGATAAAAGTAAATTTTCTCCACCAAAATAATACATTAATAAGTGAAGCTACAATATACAACTGTAAAAAATAAAGTCTGTGCTGCTGTTTTCCCCTTTTTACTCCTTAATTACACAATAAATAAAAGGTTGTTGAAACAACTGTTCTCCAGACTACAACACAGGTTCCCATATTTAGGTTCTCCTTCCTCTCAGTCTTGTTTTTCTCCACTGTACCGACACTTAAGCCAAACAAGATTACAGTGCAAACCAGAGGCTGAACTGTAAAGTGATTCCCAAGATTTGTGGCGTGACCGAGCCGTAAAGACTCGTGGTAAACTGTGGAATCTGCTCTTTAAAGCACAAACAGGGTGAGATTAATGGGCTACAACCTGCATTACTGCAGGTGTAAAGCCGTCCAGCAGGTGTGTGTGTGTGTGTGTGTGTGTGTGTGTCTCAGCTCCTCACTGACTGATGTTTGTGTTGGAATGTGGGCAGAGCGAGGATTAGCCGGGTAATCCCCGACCAGGACAACGCTAATCCTCAGCCCCGTCCCTCACACCTCTGCTGGACACTGAGCTGTCCAGACACTACACAGGACACGTGTGTGTGTGTGTGTGTGTGTGTGTGTGTGTGCGCTCATCACTGAGTTCAGTCAGATGTAGAATCGTCTTCAGGTTTTCACAGGTGAAGAGAAAGAACAACAGAAACAGGTGGAGAGAAGAATCAGTGTCAGGAAGATGCAACGAGTCGTTTTCATCTTGTTTCACACTAAGATTCATTTTCATTTATTTTCTCAGATTAACTTGATTCTCTAGTTGAAGTTAAATACTCTCATTACTAAGATGTAGACTCGAGTAGTATCCTCATTCTGGTCATTCTGGTCTGACCCCAGCATCACTGCCACACTGCTGATACTGATTGGGTATCAGTGGAGGTAAAATGGCTGTTCCCTGGTTTAACCTCCCTGTGATGCTGTTCAGGGTTCAGTGACCTCACACCTCTGCTCTGTCCCACAGTGTCTGGAGTTCGGCGAGGGCTCGGTGACGGGGGACATGTGCGAGGATCTGTGTGTGCTCGGCCACGTCGAGTACAAGCGCTGCCTCTACTACGAGAACGGGAAGAAGGTGATCGAGGCGCGCTGGAGAGGAAACCCCATCATCCTCAAGTCCAAACTGGAGAACTTCTCCTCCTACGAGCCACTGGGAATACTGGACTACCAGGTGACGTCTGCCTTCTAATATTTACCTGCTCAATTTAGATCCAACTCAAATTACACTGAAAATGATTCTCAATAATCTGTTCTCTGTTCAGGACACGGCAGAGGAGCTCTCTCCTCTCGATGTGGTTTTCTACGCCACTCTGGAAGTAAGTCTGATCAGACATTAATAAATCTGCTTATCAGACAAACATCAACATTCACAGTGGATATTAATATCCTCTGACCTCAGGTACGAAACTCCCTGGGGCTGGCTGAGGAGGACGAGGATGAAGAAGGAGGAGGAGGAGGAAGTAACGGCTCTCTGGCCAGACTTTGGGGGAAGAAGCTGAAACACAGAGACAAGAGTTACTCCAGAGCAGAGCTGGCCTCCCTCTGGTCCCTGCTGCAGCAGGAGGAGTACACCTTCCTCAGGTAAAGCAACAGCTGCTCCTGAAGTATCCTGCAACCAAATTTGTCCCAAAGGTTCAAGGCGCTAGAGGAAAAGTCATTCAATGTCCAAACTGTAACGGTTCATCCTCCGGGAAGCGAGGAATGAACGTGTTTATTAGAAGTTCATTACACAGGATTTTGATATTTCTTGTGAAATATGGATCTTCTGACCTCACGGTGCAGCCAGAGGAAACTTCAGGTTGTCACCAAAATAATGAGGGTTCATCCTCTGGAGACCATGAATATTCACAGCTAATTTTATGGCAGTCAGGTCAGTAGTTGTCTGCATCTCTAGATTCCCACAATCCATACAATCATATTTTTCCAGCATCTCCTTCTAAAAACGTGACTATGTGCTGGAGTCTTACCACATAAGCTCGTCTCATCTGAGGACGGGGGACAAAAAGACGTCAGTTTGTTTTCGGTCGGAGGGCACAGACACTCAGACACCAACAGGCTGGAAGCCAAAACTAAAAATAAAGCAGGCGAGGCGAGGTGACCTGTGCTGCTGCTTATCTGAGGCCTGCAGACAGAGCTGCAGTGACAAATGGAGTTTAGATAGAAAAAAGAAGTGTGTGTGTGCGTGTGTGTGTGTGTGTGGGGGGGGGGGGGGCTCATAATAAATGTTCACTCAAAACCACAAACCTCATGGTGGCGCTAGGTGGAAAGTCAGAGGATCATCAAACAGAGAGATGTGTAGTTGTTGAGATATTTCAGTCTGGACCGAGCAACAGCTGTAGCATGGCTAAAACTAGCATGGCTAAAACTAGCATGGTTAAAACTAGCATGGCTAAAACTAGCATGGTTAAAACTAGCATGGCTAAAATAGCATGGCTAAAACTAGCATGGCTAAAACTAGTATTTTTAAAACTAGCATGGTTAAAACTAGCATGGCTAAAAATAGCACGTTTAAAACTAGCATGGTTAAAGATAGCATGGCTAAAACTAGCATGTTTAAAGCTAGCATGGTTAAAACTAGCTTGGCTAAAATAGCATAGCTAATACTAGCATGGTTAAAGATAGCATGGCTAAAACTAGCATGGCTAAAACTAGCATGTTTAAAGATAGCATGGCTAAAACTAGAATGTTTAAAGATAGCATGGCTAAAACTAACATGGCTAAAACTAACATGGCTAAAAGTATAAGCAACAGAGTATGAAGCTCTCTGGTTGGATGTTTCTCGCAGCAATGCTCTCTGGGACTTGTAGTTGACTCATGTCTCTGGTGTTTTGTGTGTATTTGTGAACTCACTCCTGAACCTTCATCTCCCACTTCGGTTCCTCAGAGTCCTGCAGGACCTCAGCACCCACGTGGCCAAGGTGTTGGGCTCCTGCGGTCATTTCTACGCGGTGGAGTACCTGTCTGCGGGACACGCCTGGGACCAGAACATCTTCTCCCTGGAGGAGGTGGCTGCTCCCGGGCCGCAGGGTCAGGACCGGGCCGGAGCCCGCGGGAGGTGGACCAGCAGGGAGATGGTGCACCGCATCGCGCTGAGCTTCCTGGACATGGTGTGGCACTTTGACAACGACTTCACACACAAACTGCACCTGTGTGACATCAAACCGGAGAACTTCGCCATCAGGAAGGACCTGACGGTGAGTTTTCACCCGCATCCACTCTGTTGGATAACATCTCCTCCAGAGTGAGTCACTCTCAAACCCACCAAGTGAGTCTGAATGGCCTTAATGTTTTCTGAGAATAAAATGAACATGAACAGGATAAAAGCAAAGCAGAGAGGAGGGAGTGAAGAGATAAAAGGGATTAAAAAAAAAAGAAGAAGCTATTAGAGATGGAAATCAGAGAGCGGACGGTGGATTATTACGTGAGGTTTTTCTTGAAGAGATGTTTTTCAGCCCAAAGTACAAGATATGACCCTGCTGCTGGGAAAGAGAAGGTCATTGTGCACACACACACACACACACACACACACACACACACACACACACACAGTCACAGTCACCTTAAATAATCTAGCTCAGGCTTCAGCTGAAAGTCGTCTGTGTACATAGAAAAGGTCGTAGCAGCATTTGTATAAATACTGTATCTACTCTATATAAACCTCTGCATCATTTATACACTAACATTATTTAAAAGGCACATTCAGTTTCCTTATTAACAGATACTTGATAGTTTCCTGCTGGTCGGAGGAGGAGCTCCCTCTGCTCAGCTCCACCTTCTTTGTTGGAACAAAACTTTTGATAAAACCAGTTTAAACTGGAGAAAACAACATTGACTCCACGTTGATGTTATCACACAGTCTCAAAACCAACAGACTGAATTATTATCTTTAACCCAAAAACTGCACTGGCTGCAGTCTGGCTGTGAGGGCACGGACGACCTCAGCAGTCTGGACTGAGAGGTTAAACCCGGTTGAATTTAAAGCTTATTTGTGTGGAAATAACTGAAGGTGAAGTCACTTTAAACAAGCTTTTCCCACGTTTCCTCTGACCATCAGAACCAGCTGCCGCGTCGCTCCGCTGCTTCACACACCATGACCTTCCTCCATGTTTGTCGTCTTTCTGTCTGTGCTCGAGAACAAAGCAGCCGACACATTTATCCTGGGTCATTTATCTGTAATTTGACGATTAAAGGTTGAACTTTGTTTATTTTGGCTCTAAAATGAGCCTGACGGATAAAAATGGACGTCCTTCCAGATCTTTGGTTGTTTTCCCGTCGTTATCAGACGGTTCGATGGTTTGTGTCAGACTGTCATTAATCCAGATGTGTGGCAGGTCTGCGCTGGGATCCGGCCAACAATCCCAAGGCTCATTACGGTTCTCACAGTGTTGTTCCTGTCAGACATGCAACACATTAACCACTCACTCTCTGTCATGCCAACACGTAGAAAACAAGCGCTCCTGTAGTGTTTACCATGAACACAGCAGCAGCTTCCACACATGTAAATGAACAGACAGTAAAATCAGCTTCCACTGCAACTAATCAATCATTTGAAATCTTTTTATGTTATATTAATAAGTCTGGTGAGATTGTATTTTTAATCCACATGCAGACTCAAACCATGAATGCACTCGGACAGAAACTATTAAAACACATCAGTGAGTGTCACCATGAACACACAGTCCTGCTGCCACAGGCACCAACTGTGGATTAATCCGCTGCTGAAAATAGTCCCAACAGATTCAGCTTTATATATTTCCTCCTGTTTGTTGATAGAAGCGACAGCGACTTTTAAAAAAATAAATATGTGAGTTGTTTTTAAAGATTTACATGTTCAGTAATTAAAATGATTAATTATAGGTGCACGATAATATTTTAAATCATAAATCTACAGGATATTTAAATGAACTCAGTGTTTGTTTTCATTGTTAAATTCTTCAATTATGATAAAAAAAACAAACGTGGAACCTGATGACCTCTGAGTCTCCGTGGCGTCTCCTGCAGGTGGTGGCCATCGACGTGGACATGGCGTTCTTCGAGCCGAAGATGAGGGACATCCTGGACCAGAACTGCAGCAGCGATGACGACTGTAACTTCTTCGACTGTTCGTCCAGGTGTAACCTGAACAGACGCAGGTGCAGCCCCCGCCGCAGGAACAGCAACCTGCAGGTAAGACTGAGCAACAGGAACTTTCACTCTCAGGTGTTTATCCTTCACCTGAGTCCATCCATTGTAAATATTGCTTTACACCTGTACTGTACAGCACCTGTACAGATTTACATCCAAACCGTTACAGGTTGGACCAAACAACATTTAAAATGATGCTCACAAACTAAATTTTATTTTATTTCTTACTCTTATTTTGCTCTTCTGTGTTTTATATGGGTTAAAGGTTATTTATTATTTATTACATATTCGTTTATACAAAGAATAAATTAAGATTTTCCTGTCTGACATTTGATCCTGTCCCTGTTTATATATATATGTATATTTTTTACATTCATTAAATTAAAAGTTTTGGGGTTTAGGAGAATATCAGATCTGGTAATTATATATATATATATATATTATATATATATATATATATATATATAATAATTCAGACATGGGGATTTGATTCAATTAGAAGGTGATGATCCATTAGTCTTTCAGACTGAAAAACAAATGTTGAGGTGAAAACAGAAGATCATCTTTATATTCCTCTCCACGTGTCCAAACCCTTCTCTGCATATTTACTCTGTGTCATATTTAATGTTTCTGTGTCCGCTCTTCTTCTCCTCCCCGGTTTCCTCTGAACGCTGTCTCCGGCTCAGACAGAAAACGAGGCCTCGACACATTCGCGCCGCCGTCCGTCCGCCTCGCTCCTAATAAGGCGGTTGATAAATTACAGGCTTGTCCGTTTCTCCCAGACTCAGTGATCCATCTTTCACAACATTTAATTATACCTGCGCGCCGTAAAGACACGAGTGGAATGATAATTACTGATCGGAGGAGACGAGGGCTGAACCTGTTGACATGTTGTGTCTTTAAATCTGTTTTTATTAGAAACCTGGAGAAGCTTCTGATGCATTCGAATTTAATTATTTCAGACATGTTAAAAGTTTTATATTAATATATTTTGTTTTTATCAATCTGTATATGTGTTTTTCTGCAGGTTTAACCTCCAGAGGAAAGAGAAAATGTAAATAAATAGAAAGCTGTGAAAATGTGAAACAGGACATTAATTTATATTTATAAAGTAAAAGAATACATTTATCTTATGATTTTTGTCTTCAGTACATTTCACCAATAATTGATCAATGAAACACTGTGGGAATAATAATTTAAAAGCACAGATAATTTCTTTAAAGTATAAAATCCCCATTTAAAATTCTGGATCCATAAATAAATGTGAATATCTTTTATTAATCCAGGCTCATTTAACACGTTCTACATCAAAAAGAAAATGATTCAAATCCTTCTTTTATTCATTATTTATAATTCAAATTAATTAATTGTTAGCTTCTCATTTTAATTCTTTAATAAAAAATTAAAAAGTGAATTTCTTCAGTGTCGGTTTATTAGTAACAGTTCAGTCCGGTCAGACACTGTGCAGTAAATTTAATTTTTTCCTTCGTCTGATTTTATTTTTCCTCTCATCTCTACAGGACAATAGTTTAATTCTTTAAATAGAACATGAATATTCTGTATTATAAATGTAAATATTGTTTAAATACAAAAATCAATTCTTTGATGCAAAACAGTGAAATCTGTTTCAAATTAGATTCAGAAAATGTTTCTATTATTTTGCTTCAGAGTTTACCAATAACATAATTATTATTATGTAATTATTATTATTAAAGTTTAATTATAAAGTAGCTTCAGTGACATCACATCACAGGTTTTTAGAGCTAAAATTAGTTTTTTAAATTATGTTAATGATCAAATACGTTTAAAATGTAATTTTAAAAAGCTTATATAATGTATATAATGCCTAATTACATTATTCATTTTATTATTATTATTATCTTAATGCGCCGGCCCGTCAGACTCGAAGGAAATGTCTGGGACACAAAAGCTGAGGCGGACATCACCATCGCCATGACAACGCCCGGACAGACTCTCATCACCCTGCCGCCTCCTGTATCACATGTCATATGATACGAGATACCTGCATTCACCAGAGGAGGATGTGTGAATATGAGACGGAGGGAAAATAGTTTTCAGCGGGTGATGACTGGATGTGATGCACAAACACCGAGGAGATACAGACCGTAAAACAAGGAGAAGCTAAAAGTGACCCGTGATCGCACCGTTTGTAACGACAGGCTGTTAGAGGATGGATAAATGTGAAAAGAAGAAACTAAATGTGAGAAGAAATGAAATTAAGAAAACAATTAAAGAAAACAGAGGACGCAGATGAAAAGAAGAGCAAGAAAATGAGAACAAATGAAGACGAAGAGAAAACACGAGGACAAAACTAAATAAAAGAGAGAAAACTATGAAAGAGAAAAGAGGACGATGGATGGACAGAAGAAAATAGAAAAACAGTAAAAGGAGAAGATGGAAAAAAGGAAAAAAACTGAACAAAAGATCAGAAGAACAAAGGAGAAGAGAAGATGAGTGAAGACCTGACCAGACACCGGCACAGGACAGCAGGTGATGATGACACGCCGCTCTCCTATTGGCCCGTCTGAGGCTCCACAGGTGTCTCCTGAGCACGACCTCTGATGACCCTCCACCTGTCAATCATCTCCTCAGAGAAAGGAGGCATTGTCTTTTTACCTGTGTGTGTGTGTGTGTGTTGTACTGACTGATCTGTGTGTGCTTGATAATGAAAAGTGAGGTGTCATCTGCATAAAGACAGATCCTCTTTAGAATCACTCATCGGTTTCTCGTCTCTTCTTTCCTCGTCTCGTCTCTCCTTTCTTTTCCTTTCTTCTTCTCGTCTCTCCTGTGTTTTTGTTTCCTCTCTCCTTCCCTCAACCCTCATTTCCTTTCCTTTCCTTTCCTTTCATCTCTCCACTCCATCTTCCTTCTCTCAACTGTTTTCTGTTCTTCTTCCTCTTTACATCTTCGCCCTTTCCTTTTCTTTCCTCTCTTCTTGCTATTAATCTTCTCCTTACCTGTTCACTCCACTTCTCTCCTGTCTTCTTCATCTGCTCTTCGTTAATCTCCTTGTCTTCCCTCATCTACCTCTTTCCTATTTCAACCTTCTTCCCTGTGTCTTTTCCTTTTCCTCGTCAGGTGATCTGTGAGAAGATTTTCAGGCCGTGGTTTTCTCCAACTCTGCTTGGGGCCAAAGCAGGACTCCCTTTGCAGGTAGGATTCATACTTTCATGACACATTAATCAATTAAAGAACTTGATAATTAGTTAATTACAGGTTTCGCTGGGTCTGAACAGGTGGAGCTGCAGCGAGCGGTGCAGGAGTGTTCAGAAACAGAGGGAGGTGTGGAGGAAAGAGAAGAGGACGGAGGAGGAAGAGGAGGAGGCGGCAGAGACATCCATCAGCGTCTGCTCAACATCCTGACCCGCCTCCTCCATGAGGGAGGGGCTTCAGGTGAAGGAGGAGGGGCGTGGGAGGAGAAAGGCCACGTCCACACAGCGCTGAACTTCTGAGGAGGTGAAAGGAAGTCCATGAGAGACCTGCAGAGAGACGGAGACGGACGCTCTTTAGTCTTCATACAGGAATAAGGACGTAGAGGTTAATGCACCTGACGATGATTCCTGTAGAAACGTTCATCCTGAGATCCAGTGAACCCGCTGGAGAAAACACATACACTTGTTTACATGTTGGCTGAAGGCAAACAATTCATCCACTGACCCATCTCAGGTCCAGAGCCGCCTGTTGAGCCACAGTCACTTCCACAAAATCAGTAGTAACAGGACGGAGATTCCTTCCAGGTCTGGACCATTTCCGAGACATATTCAGTCCAAATACGAACTATAAATCTAGACACCACATGGACAAAGGTTTGCGACCACATCATATACAGCGGTACAGAAGACTAGACTTTGTTTCCCGGTGTCCAATCCATCACTTTGGGTTTCATCACAGCGAATCTGGAAACATGTGGCGAAGCCTTAAGTGTGTTCTCGTCAGAGGAACATGTTGTGGAGGTTTTCTTCATTTACTAAACCAGTTAGTCTCAGTGAGATTTAAAAACTCTCTCTCGTTTGAAGAGAGCCTGTAGTCAGAAAACAGATGTACATAAAGCTGTAGGTCGACCGTAACCGTGAGAAGTAATGTGAACATTTATTAATGAAGTTAAATTCTGGTTTCATAGTTAAATTGTCCGCTTTCCTTTTCTTAGGGTTTAAGTTTGACAGTTCACTGGTGAGTTTTGAGGTTTTCACCCATGACTTAGTCACTGACATTGTCCAGCTGAACTATTTCCATTCCAAACATCGTCTTTTTTAATTCTCTAAAATGGTCAAATTCTCATAAATGATAAATATGAAGCTGCAGCCAGGAGTCGGTTAGCTTAGCTTAGCTTAGCATACATACTGGAAACAGGGGGAAACAGTTAGCCTGGCTCTGTCAACACCGAGCAGAGAGAGAAGCTCACACGCTGAACACATAATATCTTCTTAATTTATTTTTGTGTTTACATCAGCAGCTGGACGGCTTCATTTTAACACACAGTAGATGTGTAGAGACTAAACGGCCTCTCCAGGGCCGGGCTTCTGTAAACAGACTAAGTATAGGTGAAGTTTGTTTTCATATGTACAGTTCAGAATAATAAAATCTGTAATGACGTTTGCTGGTTTTGCTGTGTTTCTTCCTACAGGGCCAATCTGTGATACTGCACATTTCCTCATTGATATACGACACTACTTCCAGCCAGATGCTGGTAGAAGTTAGCAGCTCTGTTTTTAGCATTTTCTTACTCCAACACTTTGTTACTTTATCAAGATTTTCAGAACAGACAAGTGACACAATCTTCAAAAAGCTGTTCGGAAAAGAGGCGGAACGACGAGGCACAAACTCCGGTCTCCCTCAACAACACTTGAACACACCACCTGCAGCTGTGGATGGACCCGGTGACCCGTGTGTTTCCTCTCACCTTCAGTATGAAGAGCAGCTGTGGTCTCACATGTCAACACCTCCAGAGAAGGCAGACATCTGACCGTCCTTCAGCACTTTAGAGGGATAACTGTCCTTTTCATTCACCACAAGTCACTTTAAGAAAACTGCTTTCTCGTGTTGTTCACCGAATGTTCATGGACAAGAAAAGATCAAGGTTGAGACTGAGGAGGTGTAAAAATTCGACCCAAGACTAATGCAAAGTGATTCTGTTGCTTTACTGTCCTCTGCTGATCAGGAGTCCACTATCAATTAATCTGCCAATTATTAGTTGTTTAGTCGATAAAATGTCACAAAATGGTGGAAGATGCTCAGTGCGAGTTTCCAGAAGCCAAACTAACGTCTTCAAATGTTGTTTTGTCAAATTCAAACCAGCAATACAAAAGAAAATAATATAAAACAAAGGAAAACAGCAAATCCTCCTGGAGAAGCTGTTTTTAGTTTCTCGTTGATTAAAGAAGATATATTTGTGTGTTTAAGAACCAAAAACCATCTCAGTGTAGTTTTACATCTCCTCTCTCAGGCTTCTCTCTGGAGCTCTAGTAACAACAGGTCGGTGAGCCAATCAGAAGAGAGGAGGCTCTGAGCCTCTCTTCTGATTGGCTGACTGTTTTCTGAGTGATCCAATAAAAATATAGCAGATTTCAGGTAAAAACACTCAGAGAAACTAAATCCTGCAAGGTTTGGATGGTGGGTCCAGGTGGGCGGGGCTTGGTGACTGCTTTGTTGTGACATCACAAAGTTCCAGAAGTCCTGACGGCTGGTTTTAAGGCTCAGTTTCTGAATACAGGCTGTGTGCATTTCTCTGTGGACTGAGGCTTTGATACTTTCACAGTATTAATATAGAAGCTAGAGCTGATCTATAATCACACTACACATGGACACAGACCTTTACACTGGAGGAGCTTTAAGGGAACTTGTTGCATCGACACCACAGAGCCTCCAAATCCAGTAGAGACCCCGAAAATAAATGTGAGAGCTGGCGGACATGTGTGGGACTCAGCATGAAAGACGTGGACTTGGACATGTGTTTGGAGTCCTGCCACCCACAGTCCAGATATGTTATAAGGAATTTACAGTATGTGATCTCGGGTTTGTTGCAGCTGCAGCACTCTGAGGATTTCTTCCTAATGTAAAGTCTCTCATACATAAACAGTCCTCCCTGTCTGTCCCTGCAGGATCCGGTTCCTGATCTTCTCCAGCTGCTTCTCTAAACAGCAGCTGCTAGTTTTTTTAAACCTGCTGCGAGTGACTGTGCAGCCTCAATCTAAACACATCATTAGTGAGATTAGACGAATCAAACGCCCCTCATCTGTTCTCCTGTGTTTAATGTGTCTGCTGACGACTGCGTGTGGACGTGATGTGTGTATTATCTCTCTGGGAGTAAAGAAGAGAGGGCATCTTTTTCAGGACACGTCTCCCAAGTATCAGGACTCCAACTCAACTCCAGACTGAAGGAGGGAAAAAGTTCAGCATGATTTCACTTCTGTGGCCTTCACCCCGACAGCAGCGATATGCATCTACATTTCCTCATCTTCTCCTCCTCCAGACGTCGACCTCCGGGCAGATCTGGTTTCAGCGTTTCTGCAGAAATAAAGAAGAAAACTGAGATGATGAAGTCTGAAAATCTCATATCCGCTCAGTTTAAAATGAGACTGACCCTCTGTGGTGCTCAGGGCTGATGTGGGGGTGAAACCACGACACAGGGCCTCATCAATAATGTACAATAATGTATTAATGTATAGACTTCAAACATGTTTTCTTTAATGATTCCAGGAAATTCACTTAAAGTTATAATATTTAACACATTAAAGTGTCTAAAAACAACTAGACCTACGTTCTGTATGTCGTTGAGTTATCACAAATGTTTCCAGCCATTTTCAAACTGTGACTTGAATTAAGGTAACGTTTCATTTGGTCACTTTACCCAGTTTTAAGCCGCATTTTAAGGATATACTTTTTATATCTTGGTGGTTTTTTAACAAGATGAAGGATTTTAGTCGTCGGAGAAACAAGCTGAGTAAACTTCAGCAGCTGAGCCGTGCTGCAGAATCACAACTTATTCAGTGTTTTTACTGTAATATGATATGTTCTAATCAGCTGGTGTGTTTGCTGTGGAGAGGAGGAAACCTCTGTGGATCATTCAGCTCCAGGTAAAAACCTCCTGAACCACCGACACTGAAGGAATCAAACCAGGAGGAGCTGATGACAGCAACTCCCATGATCCCACGCTGCTTCACCACGTCACCAAACTCCGTCTTTTGTCACTGATTTAATTGAGAGACAAAGAAAGAAAAAGCAGAAGCAGGCGGAGCAGTCGGACGATCACACAACCAGTCGGTCTAACAGGTAGGAAAGAAAATGAACGACTAAGAACAAAAACAGAGATAGAAATTATTATTAGAAAACCTGAATGTTCGATTTTTATTGAAGCTCAGTGTTTTCAGCATGGGATTCCCTCAGTGTTTCTGTTATTTAACCTCAGCTTGGAAACGCTGCTCAAACCGCGGGAGTGAATTTCATGCTAAGAAGACTGTAAAATTGGAAGATACCAACTTTATTTGTGTAGCGCTGACGGCTGAAGCCTCATATTACTGCTGCAGAAAAGAGTCCTGATGTGCAGTAACTCCACTCCCAGTGTTTCTAGGACATTTCAGAAAGAAACCGACACAGACCAACACACAAGCTGTCGTCACCACGTCGGCTTTACGGAAAAGATTGAGATGGAAACCGTCCAGAGCTGCGCTGGCACTGTGTGAACCTCAGCCTCCAAGTCAGACTGAAGGCTGAGCTCCCATGAGACTTTGCTGGATGATGTTCCAGGATGGTGATCATACCCAGAAAACCTGAGACTGGATTTCTGGGTATTTGAGTTTAACAGCTCTCCAACAATTACCTCACAGCGCTGCCTTTCTGCTGCCGACACGCTGCTTTAAATTCTTGGTCTTCTTCTGCCGATGTGGATGAGATAATCGCCGCTCCACTTGTTCATTCCCTGTTTTGGTAAAAAATATTACACTATTACAAGTTTTTCATTTCATTGAACTTCATGGAGCAGCTCCGTTCATACTGACGACAGACGTTCAGACTTCCCATCCAGGATCCAGTCTGACTGACAGGTTTGCTCGGTTCATTTTCTCCTCTGTGTCCATGATCATGAAGCCCATCCATCTACTTTCAACAGGACCTGACTCTTTTCACCACGAACAAGAGAAGGAAGTGAGCGGAGGTCACATCGTGTCACAGACCTGTAATTCATTTAGTCACCGCCACATTTTAACCACAGATTAGATTTACAACAAACTGCAGTCTTTCCCCACAGTACATCATGTCTGACATATGAACTTACATAACCTCTTCTCTACTTGTGCAATGAGTTTCACCATAACCATCATCTTGTAATTGACACTTGTTGACAAAGTGAAACCATTACACTCTCACTCAGAATCGTGCAACACCATTTTTGGTTGAACTGTGTCATGCAGCCAAACTTTGACTTCAACCCTGCGGTTTTCTCCCTCTGCGTCAGGATCCCCGTTGTACCAACGCAGTGTTCGCCTTTAAATGAAAGCAGAACAAAGTGCTTCGAACAGGGTCTCAGTAAAACACTGAGCAACAGATTAAAGGAAGATGTTAGTTCGGACATTTCTGACAGAGACTCTCAGACAGCTCTGAGCACTTTTACAACAGCAGCGTTGTTAAACCGGCGTCACGGATCATTCAGATGTCTGAGACTCTCATCTTCCAAACACCGAGGTGGAAGCGTCGCTCTGCACAACGGCAGTGAGAAAGCTCCTGCTGTCACACATCCAATCCACACTGAACCCAAGTGTTCATCAGCTGTAAGAGGCAGAAACACCTGCTGTTCTCCCAGCGCTCCACGTCTTTTATGCTTCCTGTGATTTCCTTTTTTCTACTTCATGTTTTAAAGGGTGTTACTCGGTGCACTGTGGCTCAAAAGGAGCAGGATAAAACTGACAGTGTTCCCGTTAAAGTGACTTAAATCTTATAGTGTCGGGCAGCGAGAGTTCTGACAATCAAACATCTCTTTCCAGTCCAAACTTGCAGCTCTTCATGCAGGAGGAGACAAGTTCGGCTGCTGCGGTTTGCTGGAATTCTTCACGTTTGCCAAAAGAAATTTAACATCCGTCAGTTTACTGAACTCCTCTTCAGGAGGAACTCCTTCAAGATTTATGATGTTTGTTAATTAGTGAGTTGTTTCGGCCAGAAAACCTGATTAATGACAGAAATGCAAAGTTCAGTCCAGAGACAGGTAATCTGGTGTTTCTTGGTTAGAGTTAGTGAGTCATGAATGGAGCCACCAGGCTTGGCAGCTCTTTTAAAAATGTTTTCCCACATTTCTGAATTCACCCTGACTCGTGATCAATGATTTCTGATTCTGTTTCTGTGGAAAACTCCCTCCCTCAGACCTGACGGCCGTGGAAGCTGAAGCCGGTCTGGCCTCAGGAACGTTTCCCTGGACTGGAAATGACTCCACGCTCGGTTCCAGCAGCCACTGGAGGAGCCAAGTGAAGCCTGATCTTCATTATCTCTGAGAGGAAGGGTCTGCTGGGAGTCATCGCTGCTCTTCAATAAACATTAAATCACTTCAGTTTAGTTGCACAAGACAGAAAAATGAAAGTGA